AGAAATCACCCCCTGTGGGGATGGCCATGAAGCAATCCCTTCTCCTCTCAGGATTTTGAGCATGCATGCACATATGCCTGGTGTGAGTTTTAAGCCAGGTCCAGGACTTGAACCACAGTCAACTACATGGGAGCCCAGAGATGTAACCATTACGCTATTTGCTGGTTCCATAGGTCTTCTTCTTTTCTTTCTATTAATATTTCTATCTATCTATCTATCTATCTATCTATCTATCTATCTATCTATCTATCTATCTATCTATCTATCTATCTATCTATCTATCTATCTATCTATCTATCTATCTATCTATCTATCTATCTATCTATCTATCTATCTATCTATCTATCTATCTATCTATCTATCTATCTATCTATCTATCTATCTATCTATCTATGTCATAGGGCACATGTGCTTGCCACAGAAAGAAGAGGCAGTGAGAAATCACCCCCCAGGGGGAGTGGACACGCAGCAATCCCTTTTCCTCCATTCTCCTCTGAGGATTTTGGGCATGGATGCACACAAGTTTGGCATGTTTTTCAAGTCACTAGGTCCGGGACTCGAACCACTAGGTGGGATCCAGTCACTTTAACCCCCACACTGCATGGCTGAGCCACTTATTTTCTTTATTTTTACAAATTCAAGATAAAATACACACATGTGCTTGAGAGAGAGAAAGAAAGAGAGAGAGGCACCCTTCACAGGGCTCAGTCACACCTGGAACCCCTCCCTCCACTCTAGCCTGCCAGGACCCTGGGCATGTGTGTATGTGCCCAGTGTGTTTTCAGGCTGACTGAGCTGGGTACTCGAACTTCAGTCAGCACGTGGCTTCCAGCTCTGCAATCCAATATGCGAGCCACTGAGGCTGGGCTTCCAGCACTTCTTAGTACACTATGGGCTCCCCTTCTTTTCGCCTACCCTTGAAATTTTAGATATTTCACACACTCCTCAAACTCAATGCATTCGGAATGAAATCTTTTGACTACCCCTCTTCTTAACTCCAAGTAATTTATTTCCTCTAACCAGCTCTCCTCTAACCCCAGATCACCCTCTTATTTGTTTTTAAAGAATTATTTTATTGAACTTTATTTATTTAAATTTGACCAGAGAGAGACAGAGTGAGAGAGAGAGAGACAGAGAGAGAGAGAGAGAGAGAAAGTGAGAAAGCAAGCCACCAGGTCCAGGAGTTGAACCGTGGTCGGCCATGTGGGAGGGAGTCCAGTGCCCTTAACCACAACGCCACCTGCTGGCCCCTCACCCTCTCATTCTTAATCCTGTATTTCAGTGACTGTCATCACCTCCCATCAGATAGCTAAGCTTTAATCTTCAGACCACGTTTGTCACTTCATCCCTCACTTCTCTCTCCATTACTAACTGCCCAAGTTAGCCTGTCAATTTTACCTCATTACATTTCAGTGGAATCCATTCTTGCCATTAGCAGACATTGCTAGTAGTTCAGATACCATCTCGTGCCTCGATTAGTGTGACAGGCTGTTAACTAACCTCTCGGCCTGCAGTTTCACCTTATTCCCATCCAGCCCCTCTACCCTCCCTGCTCAAAGTGTGGTTCTCAAATAAGCAGTGCCAGCCACACGTGGGAAGTTGTTAGAAATGCAGTTATGGCAGGTTCGACCCTAAACTTATAGGATCAGAATTTGCATTTTAATAAGATTCTCAGGTGATTCCACTGCTCTACTATCAGATTTAACTTTCTGAAATGCTAATACATTGCTTCTCAGCCTTCCGGCTAAGATCAAGTATAAAATGCTAATGTGATCATCTTATTAACTAGATTAAAAATTATTCTGTTGCTTAATCTTACCTAATGCACTGGTTCCCCATTGTCAGTGTGGAGACTGGGGAGTTGCTTTCTAAATAAGAACCATTTGGGAAACTACCCTAATCCTCCCTAGTCAGTCTCTGGGGGGATGAGTCCAGGAATCTGAACTTTTAATGTTTTCCAGGTAATTCTCTGTGCAGTGAGGTGTCAGTACCTCCGAGTTACAGGACAGAATCCAAGCCCCTCAGAATTTCACGATATGGTCCTTACCTTCCTTTTAGCCTCATGTCTTGAAAATCGACTCTCAACCCCACTGGGCTACTCGTTTCTTATTGGTATTTTTTAATAAAAGTCCCTCACACACACACATCCATGAATGAGTGCTTTCATTTTTAGTGTTTTCCCACTAAATTTTGAACTCCTTTAAGGCACAGGCCATGGCTTATTCATCTCTATGTGTCTAGCATGAGGAGCTGGATACACATGGATTAAATGTGCTTGTTTTTTTTGTTTGTTTGTTTGTTTGTTTTTTAGAGAGGTTTTTGCTATAGGGCGCGTGTGCTCGCCAGAAAGACAGAGAGAGACAGAGAGACAGAAAGCGAAAAATCACCCCCCAGGGGGGATGGCCGCGCCGCAATCCCTTCTCCTCCATTCTCCTCTTGGGATCTTGGGCATGCACGCACACGTGCCTGGCATGAGTTTAAGCCACTGGGTCTGGGACGCGAACCGCGGTCGACTACGTGGGAGTCCAGCGACATAGCCATTATGCTAACTGCTGGTCCCTTGAATGTGCTTGTTTTAAGGTTTATTTAAACAATGAATCTTGTGACTCTCTCTTGTCTTAGGCACACAGCTGCAGACCTTCTCAGAGAACACCATCATGGCCTATATTTCCACTTTGAGTATTACAATAAATTTGGCGGCAGACTTGTAAGAATTTATTTTAGTAGCCACGACGTTTAACTTGATTCATGCACAATGACAGTGACAGGATTTAGTTTGGTTTGGTCAGAAACCCCGTCTATAAGCCAAGTATTGCTGGATCTAAAAATGAAAATACTTTCTTTAGCTACTACGTACAAACCAACAGGATATGTATAAAATATATACAAGGGGATTTACTGGAGGGGTCAGCGCTGCAGTCACAGCAGCTGACAAGTCCCACGACAGGCTGTCTCTGCACAGCTGGAGCTCCCGGGATTCTGGTGGTGCAGTTCAGTCCAAGTCCCACGGCCTCAGAGGCAAGCAAGCCGACGGTGTAACTCAGAGTCTGAGACTGAAAACCTGCCCACCCGAGGGACTGCTGGTGTAAATCCTGGAGTCCAAAGGGAAATGAGTCGTGAGTTCTGATATCCAAGGCCACAGAGGTCAGTCTATCTTGTCCTTCTCAAAAGAGAGCATGCTGATTGGATGATGCCTACCAACACTGAGGGCAGGTCTTCCCCAGCTAGTCTAGTCAGGCTCGTGTGCAATCTCTTCTGGAAACCCCTCCACAGGCGGCCCCAGAGTAATGCTTTACCAGGTTTCTAGGTATTTCAGTCCTGCGGAGATCCCAAACCAGCCATCACAGGAGATAATCGCAAAGCCTACGATGTTAAAACGGAGCAGGTCCCTCCTTCACTCCTGTCTTAAGGCCGAGGGCACTGAAGCTCCGAAGAGAAAGTGACTTTAGTAAGGTCGTACCGGAATGA